AAATCCTTCGTATAACACATACACAAAAGAATAAAGGTTATGATACTAGTAAGAAATTGTAACGATTACTTTTGGCTTTGCTTATAGGAACACGTGAACACGGGGGGTGGGGAGAGGGGAGGGGGGAGGGGGAGAGGGGGGAGGGGTAGCAGTCCTTGTGATAAACAACTGAAAACTCAGCAAAAATCAAGCAAATTTATAATGCATCAGCCCCCCTCCCTCTTTTCAAGGTCCCCAATCCTACAAGCAAACTGAGAGAGCAAAATATCAGCATTCAGTTCTTTAACAAAGGTGAGGCCTCACAATCGCTGAATACAAGGACCTTACTGCCACTTTAGTTAACAAGGGACATGATCTCTTTAGCAGACCTAAAAGTTTGTTTTCTTTTGCTGTAATCAAGTGTACATGTGAGTCCCAGGTAAGTTTGTCCGAGATAACTACACCCAGATCCTTCTCCTCACGCACGTGCAGCACTTTTTCAGCGCCTAAAAAAAGTCTTGAAGTAAAGGCTTTTTCTTGTGCGTTATAGTTAGAACTTTGTATTTAGAGGCATTGAATCGTATGTTATTGTCGTGACTCCAGGAATTCAGGTTTTTCAGAGTTTGTTTTTGTCGTTCACAATCTGCTATAGACGAGATAGAACTGAAGACTCTGGTGTCGTCATCGTAGAGAGCAGATTGAGTACCTTCCGGTAGAACACCTGGCAGATCATTAATAGAAACAAAAAATAGAAATGAGCCAAGTAGGCTGCCCTGAGGAACTCCCGATGTAACTGGGACCCACTGCGAGGCAACACCATCCAAAATGACCCTTTGAGATCTTCAACTTATTTAATCTGTAAACCAGGCAAGCGTGTCGCCTTCCACACCATATCGTTTGAGCTTTTGAAGCAAAACTTAGTGATCGACGGAATCGAAAGCTGGCAAAGTCCAGGTAGATAACATCTGTTTAAATATTTTTGTCCAGGTTATGACCAGTTGTATTAAGAACAGATAACAGCTGTGTGACGCAGGAGCGATTTCGCAAAAAGCCATGCTGGAGAGGCCTGATGTATTGTTTAACATGATCCTAAAGTTTAATACAGACACAGCGTCCCAGGACTTTGCTTTGAATACATAACAAGGAAATAGGCCTATAATTTTCAGCCGGTTTCATAAAGTCCTTTTTACGTACCGGTGTGACATTGGCTTACTTTCATTCAGACGGTATGCGAGCAGTTCGTAAGGAGAGATTGAAAAGCGAACAAAGACTATGTGCAATTTGATTGCTGCATTCTTTTAGAAGGCGTGGAGGAGTGTTATCAGAGCCGCACGCTTTAGAGGTAACCAAAGTGGCTAAACAATTTGCAACTTCGTTATTTGCATAACTGGTGCACTGAAAGAGCGGAAATATCGTTGTTTACAACGGGACTCGGAGGAGTAAAGACGGATGAAAAACAAGAATATGAAAGATCCACTTTTCAACTGGGGTCGTAGCCTCTATGCCGTTATAGGTTATCACTGAATTTGGTTTGGCTCGGTGGTGCAGAACGGCTTTATGATAACTTCGAAAGAATTTTGGATTCTCAGAAAATGCGCCTTCAATTTTCTCCAAATAAAGGCGATGTTTTCTTTTAACCAGGTACTTAACATGTTGACTCAAGAAGCGCAGTTTCAGTTTGTTATCGTCAGATTTATTTAGGCGATATTTCCTCAGAACCCCATGTTTCTTAGGAATGTGATGGCGAACTTCACTGTCTATCCAGGGAGGCGAGTTAGTATCTTTTACAGACTTAGTAAGTGTACATTGGTCTACAGCTGACAAAAACAAATCCTTTCATAAAGCTCAGCTCTCGTCAAAGCCTCTAGAAAGTGCAATTCTAAAGGGGTATGTGACAGGAGACTGCAAAGATCTTGAAAATTCCCGCGTTTGAAATCGTAGGTGTAGCGCGAACAGACTAAGACAGCTTTAATTTTAAAAGGACAGTAAATTCTGAAATGTGATGATCCGCTGGAAACCCACACTACTCCGGTGTTGAAGTGAGAACGTTTGTGATAATTTCTGGACAATTTTACATAAAAAAAAGATCTATCCATGGCATGAATCCCAGTACCCAAAGAGATTGGTAAATCGGTGGACCAGTCGATAGAGAGTAAATTAACATCTCCTACCAAAACAATGCGACGTGACTCAGCATTGCTCTGAAAGAAGAGTTCAAATCATGATGAATCTCAGGTCAAGAACCAGGCGGGCGATAAAAAGTGTACAAGATAACGGGAATACAGTTCAGCATTCTAATTTCAACAACGATCAGTTAAGTGTTTTCTTTCTCAAGATCCAAACGGCGAAAGGCCTGTAGATCAGTTTTAATAGCGAACAATAAACCGCCGCCGACGCGTCCTTCTCTACTCCTTCGATAGAAAGAGTAGCCATAAAGCAGCTCACAGTCCGTGGCAGAGTTATTGAGCCAGGTCTCACAAACACAAACAACATCATGTTCCCTTCTGTAAACTAGCTGCTATAGCAGGGTAATCTTGCAAACCTTTGAAGCGGTTGAGTCATCATCGAGAGACACATCCGGGTTAGATGGCACATCCATGAAAATCGTTATGTCAATGTCAGAAAGTCTATCCTGCCATTTATCGAGATTGTTCTCCCCTTCCAGCCATGTTTCCATTGCTGCACCAATTTTACCTTTCATAATCCGTCCACACCCTGCATCAATGGGCTGGATTTTGTCAGTGTGGTTTTCAGGCAGCATGTAAACTGTAGTGTTGATCTGATTTCTGCATGTTTCATGGAATTGTTGACCTTGTTGGAAGCCGACATGGTCTACAAATAGAACTTATTCTTTTTAATCATCCCTAATTCCTGGAATAAGTGTGCCCTGAACCCACCGCATGCTGATTTCTTCATTAATCTAAGCATTTTGCTGGAAATACACATCAACTCTCTTGTCATACTTTTCTTTCTCCTCAGTGGCCACACGCCCTTTTCCTCTGAAGATAAGAGCTGGCCTCACATTTTGTTCCCCATCAGCCCCAATTCAAAGTTGTAGAGAAGCCTATCGTTTATCTAAACCAGATGATGGTTGTGACACGCACACTTGCTTAGCACCCAATGTGTCGTAGGTTTTTATCTTGTTCGTTTGCAAATGGGACAGGAACCTACCTGGTCGATATTGTATCTATTTTAAGGTATTCATCTTGCATACTTTTAGTCAACTGTATAGGACTTGTTTCTTCAATTCTCCTTTGTGTTTTCGAGGCTTTCCTCAAATCCCTATGGAATTTCTGGATCGTATCCAGGCCATCTTCTGCCCAGACTTTTTTTTTACTTGTTGGTCCTTCTCCTCAGTAATATGTTGTGTTTTTCTCTGAATCTCTAGAACCAGTTACTGCTTCCTTTAAATTTCGCAGCTTCTCTGCGCCATAACATGTTTTAATTTTCGATTTCATATCTTTTTAACCAAAGTTTGGACACTTTGCTTCCTGCTGCTCTCCGTAGTTTAAACTTGGCAAGTAACAGATTGGAAGCCAGAGGATATTTATTAGTGCATGAGGACCTGTTCTTAGCGATCCTACTCCTTTGTTTCATTGGCTTTGCGTCACCTGTGTTCTTCTTTGTCCTGTTCATAGTCAGTTCTGCAAGAATTTTGCCTCTGTTTTCTTCCCACTTTATTTCCAGCGATCTGGTGACTCCTTGTTGTTTCACAACTGTGTTGTACTGATTTGTTGATAATTTCAGTGAATCCAAAAGATCTAGTGTTTTTTTTTTATGAATACGATGGTGTAGGACTTTCGCTTGTTACTTCCCCTTCGAGTGTTGCTTCGCCTTTGAGTTTGACCTTGCGCAACACCGGCCAATTCACGTGGCACATCCTCAAGCTGTTGACTCTCAGCCATTATGTGCATGTTTGTTTTACCTGAGTGGTTGTTGATGTCTACAAAAATAGTCAATGTTTTTATAGATGCTGAAATATTGCTGTTCAGGTTCTGTGCGGCAGAGGCCGGGTGCTTGAATTGTACGTGGCTTTCCGAATATTGTTCAACTTTGAACGATCTGTCGCGGTGTTTGTATTTAACTGTGGCGCTGCTCAGTTTAACTGTCTTTTCCAATGTCGACGTAATGTCGTACTCTCTGCCATCCTTCAACTCTACTGATTTTCGTAAACCACATTCGAATAAAGTACGATTCGTCTCCAACAATTCATCAAAATTGAGGAACACAAAAGTCAATGCAGTAATGTATCCCATAACACTTATTTGTCTTAGTTGTCCCAAAACATTTCTTAGTTGTCGCAAAACTCTTCTTAGTTGTCGCAAAACACTTCTTTGTTGTCGCAAAACACTTCTTAGTTGTCGCAAAACACTTCCTAGTTGTCGCAAAACACTTCTTAGTTGTCGCAAAACACTTCCTAGTTGTCGCAAAACACTTCCTAGTTGTCGCAAAACACTTCTTAGTTGTCGCAAAACATTTCTTAGTTGTCGCAAAACACCTCTTAGTTGTCGCAAAACACCTCTTAGTTGTCGCAAAACATTTCTTAGTAGTCACAAAAAATTTCTTAGTTGTCGTAAAACACCTCTTAGTTGTCACAAAACACTTCTTAGTTGTCACAAAACACTTCTTAGTAGTCACAAAACATTTCTTAGTTGTCGCAAAACACTTCTTAGTAGTCACAAAACATTTCTTAGTTGTCGCAGAACACTTCTTAGTAGTCACAAAACATTTCTTAGTTGTCACAAAACACTTCTTAGTTGTCACAAAACACTTCTTAGTTGTCACAAAACACTTCTTAGTTGTCGCAGAACACTTCTTAGTAGTCACAAAACATTTCTTAGTTGTCACAAAACACTTCTTAGTTAATATTAATAATAATATTAAAAATTTATAGTGCGCAAATTCCATAAAATGTTCAAATGCGCATTACAAGATTAAAAATTATCATTAAAATAGACTTACAATAATTTTAAGAAACGAGATAAAAAAAAAAAAAAAAAAAAAAAAAAAAAAAAAAAAAGCTATAGAAATGCACTACGAAAAAGGTGAGTCTTCAGTTTAGCTTTAAAAATATTTACTGTTCTTGCGCTCCTAATATCCAGCGGTAGTTCGTTCCATAGTTTCGGAGCAGCACAGGTAAAAGAACGGTCACCCAGTGTAGCTTTCGATTTAAATGATGGATGGCTAAGTAAAAGCTTATCACTGGAATTTCTTAAATTATATTTGGAGGGGGGTCTAAGGGAAATAAGAGAGGATAGATAAGAAGGGGCTAAAAAATTAAGAATCTTAAAAGTAATTAACAATATTTTAAACTCAATTCTATATCTAATTGGTAACCAGTGTAACTTAAAAATTAAGGGCGTAATATGACAAAATCTCTGTTCTTTAAGAATCAATCTGGCACAAGCATTCTGTACTCGTTGCAGCTTATTCAACAAGCAGTCCGGTAGTCCATATAATAGGCCATTGCAATAGTCCAGGCGGCTCGTTATAAATGCATGGACAAGAGTTTCCGTTGACTGCTGTGAAAGGTACTTTCTGATCCGACGAATATTATAAATGTAGTAAAATGAAGAGGCACAAATTTTCGTGATGTGTGTTGCCATGGAGAGCCTTGAATCAAACCAGGAACCAAGATTTCTCGCAATTGGCACGGGATGTATGTCTGAGTCGCCCACACGTATACTGATATTGTCGAGCTTTCCCAGCTGTTGTGATGTGCCAATGATAAGGAATTCAGTCTTGTCGTCATTTAATTTAAGATCATTATTCAACATCCAAAGACGAATGTCTCTGATGCAGTCCTCCATACTCCTCACTACAGCAAGTTGCTCAGCTCTGTCGTTGGGACTGAATGAGATGTAAACTTGAGAGTCGTCAGCGTAACAATGAATCGTGGGCAAATGATATTCAATGATCTCAAAAAAGCTTGCTCGTATACAACGAAAACAATAACGGACCCAGACAGGAACCTTGAGGCACACCGCATTCTAATTTAAAAGGTTCCGACAGCGAATCGTTAATCATTATCCGTTGAGTTCTACCAGACAAATAGGACGTAAACCAGGAGAGGGCTTTCCCATGTATACCAAATGATGACTCAAGTCGACGTAGCATGGTGTCGTGATCAACTGTGTCGAAGGCAGCACTTAAATCGAGCAGAATAAGCAGAGTAACACGTTGACTGTTCATGTTAAGGAGAATATCATTCATAACCTTAAGGAGTGCAGTTTCTGTGCTGTGGTTCTGTCGATAGGCGGATTGAAACACTGGGAACAGATTGTTGCCATTCAGATAATGCTGTAGCTGCTTGGCAACAACAGTCTCAACCAGCTTTGAGATAAATGCCAAATTACTCACGGGTCTGTAGTTCTTAAAAACAAGAGGTAATCCATCCTTCTTCAACAGCGGCCTTACTAGAGCACTTTTCCAGGTGCGTGGAAAATAACCAGAATCAAGCGAAAGATTTATTATTTTCGTGATCGGAGGTAGTAGCACATCGGCGAAGTCCGTAAGAAGTTTGGTTGGAATAGGATCAAGAAGACAAGATTTCTTTGATGAAGCTTTGATTAAATCAAAAACCTCTGATTCGGACAGGAGAGTAAATTCTGAAAAACAGGAAGCAGTCACAGTACTGGCAGCGTCGATGGTGACAGGAAGGCGGCTCTGGTTTGCAATAACAGACTTGATATCAGCAATTTTTGAGCAAAGAATTTTCCAAAATCATTAGCCAACTGATAATCATTAGTCGACAGTGGGAGGCCAGGACCATTTGATAAATTCAGCAGGGACTTACTTGCTCTAAATAACCTTCTCTGGTCCGTGCTGTTCTCAGTTATGAAGTTTGTATAGTATGCACAACGAGCCTCGTTACTCAAAAAAACGTCACTCGATTTCTCATTGCGCGATAGGATAGTAAATCGATGTGTGCTTTAGAAGCCCTCCATTTCCTTTCAGCTTTCCTCCGTTGACGTTTAGCCAATATAATTTCATCATTCATCCATGGAACACGAGATCTAATAGTAACATTCTTTTGCTTAACAGGAGCGTGCCGATCCAGCAGGGAACGCAATGTGTTGTTGAATAAGGCGGCCAGCTCGTCAGGATCTTCAGTATCCGTTTGAAGAAGCTCGCTGTTACAGATTTCATCCGCAAAAGCAGACTTATCAATTGATCGCAACTTCCTAAATGAGACACGCCCAACTTTGAGAGGTGGTCGAGGTGTTTTCAATTTGAAAAGTAACGCTAGATGATCCGAAAATAGAATGTCAGGCGCTGGTCGACCGCTAATAAGGTTGTCTGACTTTCGAGTAATTACCAGATCTAGTGTATGACCAAGTTCATGCGTTGGTTCTGTCACATGTTGAGTTAAAGACATTGACTCCAATAAATCCAAAAAGCGACAAGCAGCTGAATCATTGTGATCATCAACATGGATGTTAAAATCGCCAGTTAAACACAGGACATCGTTAGATAGGATAACAGATTCAAGGTACTCAGAAAATTCGTCAATAAAACTGTTCACAGTCACAGGATGATTAACAGAGTACGGCGGTCGATAGATGATTGCCAATCGAAAGCGTAGGGAGCCAGTGCAGACAAGGTATTCAGAAGATTCAAAGGAAATCCTTGAAACAGTTTCGAGCTTGGAAACATTGATGTTATCTCTGAACAAGAGGGCCGTACCTCCACCTCTACGATCACCCCTAGGGCAGTGTAACAGTTTATAGCCAGCAGGAGTTATCTCGTAGCACACAGCGGAGTCGTTGTCTGATAACCAAGTTTCAGTTATTGCAACTAGGTCGGCTTTGCATTCGCTGACATAATCAACAAACAGTGCAGATTTGTTTGAAATAGAGCGAGCATTTAACGTGCACATGGTCAGCTGAGTGTTCGATGTACTCAAATGGAGATCAGATACGCGGTTTACCTGCACAACGTTGGAGCGGTGGCTATGATGATGGCTTCGATGTTTAACTGCTCGACGATTTGTTGTAAAAGACGTAATTAGTGGACCAGGGTTCGGGCTGATGTCGCCACTCGTTGTTAAGCGAAGACGCGTTAGGTTAAAGGAGGAAACGGAGTTCGGAGTATGAGATATCCGAGCAGTGAAGTAGCGATGCGATCTTGTTGAAGATGAAAATCCAAGATGGCGGAACAAACGCATCGACGACGAGCAACTTGCACGGTATAAATCCACTTCATTAGTGGTCTTTGTAACTCCAGAATCATCAAGGGCATAAGATGGACAGAAAATGAGCGTATTTAGATAAATTAAAGAGCGACTTAAACAACAGAACAGATATAGATAAGTGACTATGGCGGAGCCGAGAAAATTACGACTGACCGCCATTTCGCCGCTGACCACTCTACTTTCCTGCTAGTTGTCACAAAACACTTCTTAGTAGTCACAAAACACTTCTTAGTTGTCGCAAAACACTACTTAGTAGTCACAAAACATTTCTTAGTTGTCGCAGAACACTTCTTTGTTGTCACAAAACACTTCTTAGTAGTCACAAAACATTTCATAGTTGTCACAAAACATTTCTTAGTTGTCACAAAACATTTCTTAGTTGTCACAAAACATTTCTTGGTTCTCGCGAAACATTTCATAGTTGTTGCCAAACTCATTACACTCCCCCTTTTCCCTCCCATCCCCCAACAAAATAAATGTATATTATTTCGATAAGTCATTCGACTGCTCTCTCAGTAAGCCGAAAACATAAGCTATCAAGATATTCGCATGAACATCGCCTAAATTAATGGCAATGTACCTGAACACGAGCGTCCATCGCCAAGGTATCCCTCCTTACATGTACAGTAATGGGAACCCACCCCGATTAATTTAGCAGAAAAATAGTCTTGCTTGACATGCAGAAGAAGATTCAAATTATACAATTGCTTTATAACTAAAATATTGAAGTAAGAATCTTGATCAAAGTTTTATCATAGTGTATTTTGGTTTAGGCGTGTCCCTATGTGTGTATTTTTGCCCTATTTGGCTTTTTTATGAAAAAAATTGAATATATAAATCCGAAACTATGCAATGGTATGGTTTCAGGACTGTAGTAATTACTAATATCTTAAAGAAACAGGGACGTAATTGAAAGAATCTACAGTTCAAACAGAAAGTGAAACTAACAGTGACGTAATGATGATTTACCTTCCAAATTCATATCACAGTAAACCAAAACTGCCTTCCCTGTGCCAGATGGATCCAGCCAGTATTTGTTGCTTGCAGTGTTTTTTCCTTCGCTTCCTTTTATTTCTCGGCATGCACGTGCTGGTAACTCCGGTATCGAACCCAAGGGAGCTGACATGGGTAGTAGAGATGTTGAAAATAAAGTATATGTAAGTGCACAAGTCGAAAGCCGAGATTGAAAAACACAAGAGAATTAGAAGGATGATCTAATTCCATTCAGTCAATTCTCGCCTTTGAATGTGTTAAATTAAACGCTCTGTCAAGCACCCTTCTCTTGGGAAGTGGGCCCCCTCACTTTTAAACCTTTCCTTTAGAGCCACCAGCTTTTTTATCTCCTTACCCTAAGCTTTTTGTATCATTTTAAAGAATAAATACATAAATAATTTGTTGTCACCATTTCACACATGCATCACACAAGCTGTTCTGTAAGAAGTTAACTAAAAGTTAAACTGAATAAAGGGGGTGAGTTTCTAAAGAAACTGTGGTGCTGCATCGGTGGGAGAGTATAACAAGGTAATTTGGTGATATCAACTGACTTGATAACGTAAGTTGACCACTGTTCAGAGTTTCAAAACAGATGTTTCGAGCGTTAGCCCTTCGTCAGAGGGAATGGAGGAATTGTGGGTTGTGTGTCTGTCGGCAGAACTTGGAGCTACGCTTTTGGTGGGAAACTACAAAGCAACTACAAAGAAAAGGGATAGAACTAATATCGTTCATTATTAGAATTGAGAAATGGTAGAAAAATCAATACCGATGAGCGTGGGAGATCAGAAAACGTGGACTGTGAGCAAAGTCGAGCGTATGACCAAAATATTGGTAATTATCATCCAACATTATTGGCTGAATAGTTACCTCTTCCGTTCAAACGGCGAATATAAAACCACGCTGGATCCGAGCGGAAATTCTCGGGTCTTGCGTCCTTTGTGCGGTTGTTTAATTCACAGATCTGTTCTTTTCTGTTGAAATTATAGCTCTGGCAGGTAATTTCCCTTTCACATAAGATATCACAGATATGAGGAGCTGCTACCGCCATTCTCTTGAAAACGAAACCTTTGAGAGCCATGCCACGAATGTTAATTTCTATCCTGCATTGATCCTCAGCGGTTACAAGGTTGGTGACCGAAACACAGGCAAGAAAATATCGAAATATCCACAGCATTTTTCCTGAAAAACGAAATTCATAGACATCAGTGAGTAAACTTTTTTCTCAAGGCTGACTAAGAACACTGGATAATTAGAACAGCAGGACCTCCAACCACCCCGCTCTTCTGTTATTCCCTTTTTTAAAGACTTATCGCAAGATATAACATTAGCCTTCAAAATAAATTATTGAGAAAATGCCTGGAGGAGAAAATTCTTCCATTTTACGGGTGGTTCTGGAAATGGGGTGCAGGGAAAATGAGAGCTGAAAGTAATGTAATAGGACTTGAAAGTTTTGGGAAATTATGAGCTTTTCAAGGTCTGGACAATTTTTAATGAATGAGCGGACGAGAAATTGATCGAGTAGAGACACCGCCGACACTTCATTTTTCCCGGTGCAGAGGCTGTCATTCGTCTAATTTGTTTCGGCTTCGGTGTAATATCTTCATGACTACACACTCGTACTGGATCGTACACTATAAAGGCTGAAAGTATACTTTTGAACCTAAAATATCCTAAGGAACTCAATGACTCGATCATTGCCATCAGTCTCGGTTACGATTACATGAGACTGAGTAAAATTTGTTTAACAAATTTTTCTGTTGAAATCACCTGTTTTGGTTGGGTGAAGTGAAATTGTTCCGCAGGCTAATTCTAAACTTCCTTTCTCTTTCGATCGGTAATAACTTTCTTTCTGCGGTGATCGGTAATAACTTTTTCCTTTCATCTGCCCACTCATTCAAGTACATGAATCCCTCGATTTACGTTTAATGAAAAACGGAACCAGCCTTTACATCAACTTTGAAGCCGAACTGTACCAAACAGCGTACAGCGCGAAAATTAAGGCGCTCATTTTTTTCAAGATCTGCCAGTAGATATTTTATCCATTGTGTACCATCAAAAAGTCAAAAATTAAACGTGGTTCACGGAAAACATTGTAGAGACAGTGACTGTTTATTCAAAGTAAACCTTCCCTTTTGGCTCAGCCCAGAAACCATGTTCCCTAAAATTTTACATATTTGAATTTTGTCATTTTCAAAAAAATATTGCAAAATAAAATAAAAACCTCCTTTGAAATATGTGGTTGTCTCATGCCACTCCAGGTATGTAGATGAATTAAATAATTATTGTATTAAATGCTAATAGGAGA